TATTATTACTCGTTACAATCTCAGTAACGCAAGTTACAACAACATATTACTAACACCGCAAAACAGCACCAGAGAAAAAATTCCACGGGTAAAATAGTTTGTCTATCTTCTGTTGCTGGAAATAGATGGTTGAGATGACTGGAGAGACGGATTCTACATTTGTGAGATGGACACACTCCTGTTATTTTCAGTTTATCGGAGAAAAGGATAAGAATGCTTAGCAATATGTGCGACACCAAACTCTCAACATGGAGAAATAGCACGAGTAACACCTGGAAACACCTGGACTGTGCCACTAACACTAAGCGGTCGGAGAAGAGGAAAAGGCGGCGGACGAGCGCAGACAAGCAACAAAAATTAAGTTTAACTAAAAATAACAAAATCTGTTTAATTATCTGATAAAGGTGACTTGACTATTAGACTTTCACTTGCGCTTTGTGTTTGTTTGTCCTGAAGCTCGATTGCGGCTGCGGTTAAATGCGTTTGCATAAATGCATTTTTGACTTTTAAATGGATTTGATGTTCACACACAGTCAGTTATGTTTTCAGAGCATGACAGAACATCTGATATATCGAAATAGATCTGTGCATTAGTGTGAATGCAGCCTGTTAAAGCTGCCGCTGTCTATGATCTCATTAGTAGGCCTAATAACCGAACAGCAATAATGCAGAGGTAAAAAGAAAAACCCATAACTATTGTCTGTATTCTTTCAGATACTTAAAGAACACTTATTTTAAATAAGGTATTGTTTTAAAAAGTAGCCTGCTTATATAATAATAAAAAAAAAGTACATTTTGCACAAAATAAATTAGACAGAATATTTATATGAAATGTAGCCATGTGCAGTAATAGCCTATTGAAAACAGAATGTGACCCATCGTGATATTGAGTTGATAATAATAATTGTAATTGAATTTAATCGTGAAACCAGTGAAGATTCATACCCCTTTGTTTAAGATAGCAGTACTGACATACAGAGATTCCAACTATAGACAAAAAGTAAAGTAAAAGTAAAAATGTAAAGTTGATGTATTTGCACAGCAGAAGAATTAATTGGGGAGAAATGTAGATCAAGAATGGTTTTGGAATGGGATCGTGAAGTGCCTGAAGACTCCCAGCCCTAAAGTACAGGAGGAGCTCTGACATCACTCAGACTGAGTTCAGAGAAAGTGAAACTAACTTGAACAACATGCCTGCAACGATCAACCTCTTTAAACAACAGAATACTTATTGAGCTGTTCAGAGATCCGTGTGGTCACATCTTATACTCACAGGTAAGTGATAGAAATATAAGAGAGATTGTCGTGAAGAGGTTTTTAATGGAAGTGGTCTGGTTTAGCTAGTTTATGTCAAACTGGAATAAGTTGAACAGAACCAGGTTGAATCATGTCAAACACTCCATTACTTTAGTTGTTTACTGCATTGAAATGGTATCAGAATTGTATTTAAAGTATGTCATTTGATTAGTATTACAGCAAAGTTTGGTGTTACTGTAATTTTGTCACGCAACATTAAGATTAAAGAAACAGGAAATAAATGAGCTTCAGATGGAATGAACACAAAACTGCTACACTACAGTTTAAAATCATGTTTATAATAAACAATATGAAAATTACTCTTGACCATATAATACATCTAATATGTGGAAAGATATATTTTTGTTGGAAAATATATTACTTTCTTCTAAACAGCAGGTCATAGTTCAGATTGATCAGTGAGTTTATGAGTCGTACTGTGTTGATAAAGTATTAATGGTTTCCCTCGCTATTAATGTTTGCATGAGATTTAAACAATTTAATGTAAATATTGATTAAATGGTCATGATCCAAATCAGTTTTAATTCTGAAAAACTAAAATAACTTATTTAAATAACTTGAATGTCACTTTCTTTCAGAGGGTGAGAAGAGTAAGACCGTACCTCTTTGAAAATATCTAATGTAAAATAATAATCATATTAAGAATAAGTTCATTTCAATTCAAGTTTATTTGTATAGCGCTTTTCACGATACAAATCGTTGCAAAGCTGCTTTACAAAAAAAATAAAAATAAATAAGTTTCTACAATATCTTTAGTAGTAGCTATAATAAGTAATCCAAGCTCTGACCTGTGAGGTAAGATCTCATTTAAACCACAGTGATCAAATATACATTCAAATATATAGCAAATGGGGCGTTTCTTATCAGTTCATTGGTCATTATTTTATATTGTGAAATACAATGTTTGTTTTTGTTTTTTTAAAGAGGGGAAAACAATGGCAGAATCTTCACCACCATCAACACAACCAAGAACAACCAGGAGGCAGAGTATAGATAAACCTCCATGTATGTCAATAACCCAGAAAATAATGACTTACTGCATGAATGACTTACACTCTTCTTATATAGTCAAGTCAAGTCAAGTCACCTTTATTTATTGTAGCGAATTTAGCTCACAACAGGAAATATGAATAATTAACCATAACTAGTTATAATTAACTATTCATATTTTAGATCCGCTGTAGATATTTAGCCGACCTCTCAGGGTCAACTGTCTGTCAATTCTAAGAACGTTAATTTCCTGGTTAAGGGAAATAACTTCTTACTGTACAATTCTACAAAGAGCTTGTAGCATAAATCTTGCATAATAAGGGACTCCGGTTATGAGCAAAAAGCAATAAATAGCAATATTGAAAATATGACCAGATGACCTCTTGCATTTTTAAGTTTGTTCAAAGTCACCACTGTTTGTATCTAGACAGTCTTTACATTCAACCAGCTTCAGTTTGTGCATTATGGTATTCTTCATGAACACTTGTTGATTATTTTCCTTCTCTATCTGTCTCCATTTAAAATATTAATCATCATCATTTCAATAATTTATAAAATAGCTACCTTTCAATCAAAAAGACTTTAAGATGATTAGAAACTTGAATTTATTGTGTGTTTCATGTGTGTCCGAACTAGTAGTCTATGTGATTTATCTTCATTTTTTTCTTTCTAGCAATGCCATCCTCCAGTGGTCTACTGACTGAGGGGCTTCAGTGCTCTATATGTCTGGATGTGTTCACTGATCCAGTCACGACTCCATGTGGACACAACTTCTGCAAGATCTGTCTGAATAAGTGCTGGGACAACAGTCAGACCTGCAGCTGTCCATACTGTAAAGAAACATTCAAACATAGACCTGATCTCAAGATTAATACCACACTCCGAGAAGTTGCTGATCACTATAAGAAGAAAAGTCCTGAGAAAACAGCTGAGGTTCTGTGTGACTTCTGTGAGGAGAGAAAGCTGAAAGCCCTGAAGTCGTGTCTGGTGTGTCAGAGCTCTTACTGTGAAACTCACTTGGAGCCTCATTTGAGAGTGGCAGGTTTGAAGAAACACAAACTGATGGATCCTGTGAGTAATCTGGAGGACTATATATGTCAGAAACACGAGAGACCCCTGGAGCTGTTCTGTAGAGATGATCAGACCATCGTCTGTCTGTGCTGCACTGATGGAGATCACAAGAACCACAACACTGTGTCTTTAGAAGAGGTGAGAACTAAAGACTATCCATAATAAAACAGTTCACTTATGAATTAAAATATAAACTTATGAATAATTATTTACTCACACTCATGTCATTCTATCAATTAAATGTTCTCTGTTTATAGACTCAGCTGATGATCCAAGACACACAGCAGATGATCCAGGACAGAATCACGAAGATTCAAGACATCAAACACTCAGCAGAAGTCAGAAAAGTGAGTGCTTGTGGGTAGTAGCTTACTGGGCACATTAATTTAGATATAAATAATGTCCATAACATGAACTGTGCAGCATGCAGACAACTGCACTAATAATTTGTTGATTGACCTGATTGAGCAGAAAAATACAGAGAGGGAGAAAGCAGCTTGTATTGAGCCCTTCACTGATCTCATCCGCTCCATTGAGAGACATCAGACTGAACTGCTGGAGATGATGGAGGAGCAGCAGAAAGCAGCAGAGAAACAGGAGCAAGAGCTGATTGAAGAGCTGGAGCAGGAGATCACTGAGCTAAAGATGAGAAACACTCAGCTGGAGCAGCTTTCACAGACTGAAGATCTCATTCCAGTAAGTGAACATCTCTCTGATCAATGATAATGCAGTATATGTCACACTATAACACTCCCCATGCTGAAGGATTTCTCCTCTCTCCTGTAGATTTACTCATCTCTGTGCAGCCCTAGAAACAGCAGGAACTGGCCTGAGATCAGTGTGGACACTCATGCGAGTCTGGAGACTCTGAAGAGAGCTCTGACTCAACTGAAGGACACTATAGGTGAGAAACTTTATCAAACAAGTGCATCTATACATACAGTACATTGATCAAATAAAAACATGATGCACACATACACAAGAATTGTACACAATTATTTTAGCTTTAATGCTTGTCTGTAATTCCGCACATAAAATACCTCAAAGATCTGCTGATGTTTTATTGTCATGTGTCTCTGCAGAGCTGAAGTGGATGCAGCAGTATGCAGGTACAGTGTGCTGTCTGAGCTACACTAGCTTCATTACTGCACTACAATCTGATTAAATCTGGATTAAATATTACAAATATCAGCACAGAATCAGTGTATTGTGAAGTTGTGATTGATATTCTGTGTTTTCTCAGTGGATGTGACTCTGGATCCTGATACAGCTCATCCTAAACTCATTCTGTCTGATGATGGAAAACAAGTGAGACATGGAGACATTAGACAGAAACTCCCAGACAAACTAGAGAGATTCAATAAAAATGTCTCTGTCTTAGGAAAGGAGGGATTCTCCTCAGGGAGATTTTATTTTGAGGTGCAGGTGAAGGGAAAGACTAAATGGGATTTAGGAGTGGCCAGAGAATCCATTGACAGGAAGGGAGATATCCCACTGACTCCCAGTAATGGATACTGGACTGTGTGGCTGAGGAATGGAGATGAATATAAGGCTCTCTCTGGTCCTTCTGTCTCTCTGTCTCTGAGAGTGAAGCCGCAGCGGGTCGGTGTGTTTGTGGATTATGAGGAGGGACTGGTCTGCTTTTATGACGTGGAGTCTCGCTCTCATATCTTCTCTTTCACTGCTCAGTCTTTCACTGGGAAACTCTATCCATATTTTAGCCCATGCAATAATGATGGAGGTAAAAACTCAGGCCCACTGATCATCACAGCTGTCAATTAACGTACATGATTTTATACATGAAATAGGATTACAGTGATTTTTATAATTAAAATGTTTTTTTTATTATTAAAAATCTGATAATGTATGTGCTGCTACTCACATGTATGTACTGTTTCAGTCATCTCTGCTACAAAATGTTCTGTTACTGACACACACGCACCCGGCCAGCCCCATACACAACAAACTGCGGTGCACTGTGTATTCTGACACCTTTCCCTCAGAACCAGCATTAACTTCTAAAGGCCATAAGGTGAACTAGGAAAAAGTGGATAGAAAGGGATTTTCGTTCTCACACCTGGGGCCTCAATTATAAAATGTTGCGTATAAACCGTCCTAAAATTGTTCTAAGATAATTTCTCAAAAGTGCATACGTGTGATTCAGAGAAAATGAACATGTGCACAAAAACACGTGCGTACGCCTCTCTTCCAGATGTGACATTTATAAATCACAAATGATCCTGAAATTGTGCGCAGCTGACTGGTGTCAGATCTCCGCCTTGTAAACGCCCCCTAATTAATATCATTACCATATAAAAGAGCACACGCCAATATCCAATTTTTTATGCTTGAAGCACAATCACGAGCACAAAGAAAACAAAAAAACCTTTACTGAGTCTGAAATTAAAGTCCTGCTGGCAGAGGTAGAGTTTCGTGCAGGGACGCATTTTATTAATAATGTGTAATTATTCTGTGGACAAACAATGTGTGTGGTTATATTTTTTTCTATTGACTATTATCAAAATTAATACTTCTAGAAACAACAGAAATAATAATAATAATAATAATAGTAATTATAAAACAATTAGGTTTCCAAAAGTAAGTAAAATTCAAGTAAAATTTTCAGTCATGTTATAAAAAGGGAGCCATCCTACTTTTAAAATCACTTGCTATGACAACTAATAAAACGTTTAGTATCACAAAATCCTTGAAAAACTTTAAAAAACATTACTGAAAGAAAAATTGGACGTTACATATCATAATAAAATAAATTATTACACGATTATGGTCTCCGGTCTGAAAAAACCTGCATGTGATTTGGCTTTTCTTTATATTTACACAGTTTACTAATGCTGCTCAAATGTGTCCGAGATGCGTTTATGCATTTATTCACGCATTAGTAGTAGGCTAAAACAAGACTTCGCAAGTTCTCTTGTAAAATAAAATAATAAAAAACAACATGGAATAAACTGTGTACAGAAAGCGATTAAGGAACACTCAACATTAGGCTTCTAAAAAGGTCAGTTTAATCTCGCAAAAAATATATAAAAAAAAATACAAAAAAATACAAAAACTGACTACACTGCACAATTAATCTCTTGCACTGCATCTTTGTTGTTTATGATGAATTCGGTGCTTGCACGTACACCGCTTTTATTATTATTGCAGCTTAGATGTAATCTAAAATATATCTCAAACTGACATTTATACATGTACCTAAATATTTGAGACCAATATTGGTGCATTAGTATACTCAAGTGTGAATGCAGACCATGAAATATGCGAAAGTTCATAGAAAAAACACTTCAACTTCACAGAATGTCACCAATCATAATTAAAGATACACATTGTAAATGTAACAAAACTGTGATGTTTTATACAATAAATTATAGGCACTGTGCAATCACAGAAAGATAAAAAATTAAGTACAATTTGGCCCAAGTTGGCTGAAATTACTCAAAATGCTCAGATTAAATTTTCAGATTAAAGGAGCTCAAAATGATAGATTTATTACAGCTCAAAATCAGCCTAAAATATGACACAGCACATCTTTACTCATCAGTATCATCCCTATCACTCTCATCAGAGCTTCATCCCATGTATGTCTTTTCTCTTTTTTCTGGGAAACATTTGCACAATATTGGCACCGACATTAAGGTGACCAGACGTGCCACCTCTCGGGGACACGTACACACAACGATCATTCTGCACAGCGCAAACAACCAACATTTGGTTATTTTAGGCAATTTAGAAATCCTGTGCAGAACATGTCTCCAGGAAGTGGCACGTCTGGTCACCTTAACTGACACAAATTAGTACAACACAGTCTTGAGACATACAGGAACATCTTTCAGTCTCACATTTCCTTTGCTTGCAACTGCACTGGACTACCTGCAACACACTTTCAGGACAGGATTTCTAGTCGTCCAGGTCACGGTCTCATTACGGCTGCTTGGTAGTTTGCCCTTTTGCAGTGTTGGTACAGGGCACGGGTAGGCAACATCAGTCCTGACCTGGAGTGCCGATGTCCTGCAGAGTTTAGCTCCAACTCTAAAGAAAAAAACAACAACAAACCTCACCTGCCTGGAGCCTTAGTAATCCTGAAGTCATTGATTAGCTTTTTCAGGTGTGTTTGATTAGGGTTGGAGCTAAACTCTGCAGGACAGCGGCACTCCAGGACCGACATTGCCTATCCCTAGTACAGGGCATCACTTGTCAGGGGCATGGATAGTTCTGTCAAAGCTGACGATGCCATGGAGCAAGGCTTTGCATCTTGCATCGTTCACAGTTTCAGCAGATGACTGGCCATACTGGTGGCTCACATATTTGCAAAGTAGTTCAAAGGTTGATTGGTCCAGGGTAAAACTGCTACCCAGATTTGTAAATACAGTCAGGTAATCCTCTTTCTTTTGCCTTTGCCATTAAAGGCGCTTATAGGGTCACAACCTGAGAAGGTATGGATCACTGTGAAAGTTCAAATACAAGGTGTATCAGCTTCTATGTGTTATAAAGTATTATTATGACTATCATTATTATGAAATGCATTGTTGTGAGAAAAAAATAAAGATTTTTCCTAAATGTTCTAACCAAAGCTGCCAAAGAAGCTCATGGTATTTAAATTACCTGTAATTTCAAGAATCAAGATCTTCTTGTTTTTTTTTAAAGATTGAAAAAAATCCTTTTTAACTGCATCATTGTCACCACCTCTTGGTTTACAATTTTTCTATGAAAATTTCTGAAAAGAAAACACATTAAAAACAGAAAATATATGTTATGTGCCATAATTATTTCACAACGGCTTTTATTTTAAATATAGTATAAATAGTAGCAAATCAAAACCACTAAGCGATTTAGGCAGCTTTTTTTTACATTCTTCAGAAAGAAAATACATTTGTTATGAATTATTTCTATTTTCTTTTACCTTCATGAACCACTACACATTTTATCATATTGAATTACTGTGCCAAGAGTTGTGCAGTCAAGACTGTGTTTACAGACAAACCGACAATATACAGAATATGAAGATGGTCAATGTTTTACTTTTGAAATGTGCAATAATGTGAGGGAATTAATATTTATTATTTGATAATGCAATAGAGTAACTCACTGTTCTTCTGAGGCCCCAGTAACTGTTGCAGCAGACCAGGAGAGCTACCATCCTGCAGACTTCAGTTCCAACCAGGGCTTGACATTAATTTGTTTTGCTCACCAGCCACTGTGGCTAGTGTTTTTACAAATTTACTAGCCACTCAGCATTTTCACTGGCCACAGTTTTGTTGTTGGTAAATTACATTTTATATGACTTATAAATTGATTTCCAGGTCATAAATTGATTTCCAGGTCATTTTTGGCCTAAATGCATGCATCATGTTTCATACCAAATACTTACATTTTATTAATAATATCACTTAATATAATAAGACATAGGGCTGTTACCAATCAAATTAAACCAGTATCAACAAAACCGATCTTTCCACTGCAGAAGAAACAGAAGTTACTGGAGTGGCATTCAGATGCATTTACACAGACAGTTATAAATTAAATGTAGCACGAATGCATTTAGACTGCAAAATTATAATAGCATAAATAATGTTGAAGCATGCCTCCAAACGATTCTTTCAAGAATGAAGCAAGTGCCCGTCTTTACAAATGGACCACTGAATCATTGACTCTGTAAGGGAAACAGGTCAATTTAGCTCAAAGGGAATCATTTAAGATTTTAAAGGGAACTCCACCATTAATATGTAAGGGAATTAGGACAGAATCACTGTTTTACGGTTGATCACTGAGACGGCCAGCGATACAGTGAACGAGCCGTATGACATAAATTCTGCAATGGATATTTATATCCAAAATATAGTGAAAACACTATTAATTAGCATATGTAACAAGATCGGCAGTTTAAGACATTAACTTGTGAGCACAAAACACGAGATACTTCTCTTTTCAATATAAATAAGGCTTTATTGGATAAATCTAAGACATATAAACTAATCTAACACACGCATTCACACACAAGTTGCAGAAAGAGAGAAAGTGAGGAAATAATTAGTTTAAGAGAATGAAAATGTGAAATCCCAAGTTTAAAGCAATATGTGCAATTGCATAGATCTGAACAACCATCAATCACTTAATTAACCCTCGCATTGAGTTTGCTCAATGAGGTTAAAATTTATATTAAATGCA